AACTGTATTTTATCAGTCTGTATTAGATGCTTGTCAGTATCTCCCTTACCTCTGATCCTCATCGCCTTTACTCCTAAAATCTGTACCCATGATATCTTTCGTCATGCCAATTGCCACCTATGTATAAAGGAAAGTTAGCATTAGTTAGGCTAAAAATAAAATTCTACTTTTACAAGTACCATTATAAACTAAGAGAGAGATGATAGGAACAAATACTGGGATTCATTATTTTTTGACAGTTCCAAAAATAGAAAGATAACAACGAGAAAGGATAAACTCAAGGTTACAGTATGTATGGAGGCTCTGGGTCTTTGGCTACTGTCTCTTGTATCAACCTACCTGAGTTAAGCCCTCCAAGATTTCCACAATTTCCAATACATCACTGCTTTGAATGAGAGGACAAGCAAGGAAGTCAAGCCGAGCACCAGGTGAATCTGCATCCAGGCATAGTTTGACAAGTTCAGTGAAAAAATTCTGAAGTTCATCAAGCTCCTTGACAGCGTAAAGAGAAATCACCTGGAAGAAAGTATTTTAAAAATTCTGATAAACAACAGATGAAACCACTTCATCTGCCCTCGAATGGAGCAGTGTTGCCCAAGCCCACACGTGAATTATCTACATGACTATATGCAGAGGGTCGTACAGGGGGATCTCTGGTCCGGTTCACAAACAGAAAAAATAGGGGATCACGCATCACGGATATAAAAAAAATAAGTCTGTAAGAAAAAAAAAAAAAAGCAACTAAGATTCTCTTTTTAATAACCTGTTCTTGCACTAGAAACAGTGTTTGAAGAAAGCAAAATCGCAAATGGCTAAGTCAAGGATCCATATTGCAAATCGCATACCTAAGTCAGTCTTGCTAGACGACTCTAACCATTTGGAGGACTTCCGTCTCAAAATCATGTGGAATAGAGTGGTAACATCACAAATATCGGTTAATAATTCAGGTTCTTAACAGGTCACACAAAACCTTCAGGTCACCAGTCATGAAGAATGATCTCCTAAATTCATGTTTCACAGAAAATAAAATCAGCAAATCACGCATCACGAGAACAACCCCGGTATGACCCTCTGTGCATATATATTGACATCATTATGATCTGTGTTATTAATTGAAAGTCTGAGATAATGGTTGTTTGTATGTGTTTGCTTGATTAGAAGAAACTGTCCGCATGATGAAGACATCCTTTTAGAATGTACATGGTTGCCACAGGCATCACTTTTCAAAATTCCCTGACTTTTCCCTGATAAAAATAAGATTTTCCTGACCACATAAATACAAAATGTCCGATTTACTAGTGGCTTTTGCCTCAACTTACAGCTGTCCTTTCTACTCATTTGTTAAGACTAATAGATTTTCAACACATGTTCCTTCTTCATATATTAAAGAAAAATATCGCTGAGATAACAGTGACACTAAATGTTTCTTCCAGCCTTCAATGGTATTAAATCAGCCATGCTAAATTACATCAATGCACCCTGTCTTTTCAAAGCTGCCAAATATCAGTTACTGATAGAGCCCTCTTATTCCTTTTTCTTAATTTCCTCTTGTTTTGCTTGCAAGTTGACTACACCTTTCATCATTTTTTCCATAGGAAATACTACATAACTATTCAAAGGACAATTTTTGCAAATGAGATGCAAGCTCATTCTCTCATCTGCAACTCTCCATCCCTTCTCTCTGCACATCACCTACCCCACTTGCCAGACAAGGGAGGTTTATGACCATTTAGCCACAAACTCTGGAAATCTACTCCTCATTTGGCCAGTTGCAATAGAATGTTGGAAAATTGTAAAATATTTGAAAGTTTCCCCTAATCTCGCCACTATTATTCAAAAGTAACTTGAACTAGGTTTTCCAATAAATTTAAGCAAACTTCCTGGATGACATTGCAAATTTTGATTGCAAATGTCATTTATACATGCATGTCATTAATTTTTATTAAGTTTTTCTTGTGCTCACAAACTTCCATCACATGTTTTGTCAGTATGTATACCAAATATATATATGGCTTAGCCTTTTTTATTTGTTAACTAAATTAACATAATTCTTCAAACTTAACCAAAACTCTTTATCAAAATTATATGCATTCGAACATTGTTTTAGCGTTTAACACAATTGCAGTCACCTTGGTAAAGAAAAAGTACTTGACACATCACGACTTCACGTTATTTTTAATTGACTCCTTTTCACGTTATTGTGATATTTAAAAATTATTTTCATAACTTTTGTGATATATGCGTCAGCTTATATTACGCTTAAAATACAACATTCGCATTTCCTTTTCATCCGATAGCTTAATCCTGCATAACTGAGCCAGACCGATTACCAGGTATTACGACAATATTTTTAGCTGAGGCTCGAAAAAATCTAAGCTTTTAAAAATGTCATAAGATTTTCAAATTTTGCAGCCCTCGATAACGCTTCCGGTGCAGTGTCCAATACAAATTTCAAACTAAATTCCATTTCGAAATAATATTTCGCAGTTCTTGAAAAACTAAAATTTTATCTTGCCCGTAAGTTTAAAGAAGTTTATTAAAAAGAGGCGTTCGTGCAAAAATTAGAAATAAATAGAATTTCACCTGGTCGTCGTTTGCACAAAGAACCATATTGCTGCCTTGACCGTGTGCTAAAAACGCTATGCTTTCGGCTTTTCGTCCCGCTAGAGTTTGTTGAGCTTGAAGAAGAAGCGATTCCAGAGTTGAGTTGTCGTACTTGTAAGGTACAAACAGAACTGACGATCGAGCAGCCGAGTTTAGCACGGCAGTATGCCGAACTTTCGAACTCAAAAACACAACCCGCCATGCAGGAGGTGAAACGGAACTATTGGAGCGACTGTGACTCTTAGTTTCCTGGCTCTCTGAGAGAGCGCTTTCTGCGTCATTTTGACTTTCATTCTCATTTTGTGCATCCTTTGAACTTGAAGCCATTCCTTGCCTCACATCATCAAGACTTCAGGAAGATTAACTCCATGTTTCACGCCGTCAAAATGTTCTTTATTTCTTCGTCAAGACAGTCCGCCGGATCATGCTTCTGGCGTAGCCCGCGCCGCTCTGTCTAAAGACAGTATTTTCACGATGCCAATTTTTTTTCGGTTGATCAGTCTAAACGGCTTTCCACCTTTGCAAAGTGTTTCGTTCAAATAAGACAATTATCCTATGTTCAAGTCATCATCCTGAGCATAAGTTGTAAAATTCCACTTCAGGTCTGATCCGCCGAGCTCTAACACAAGATGGCCGGAGCCAAGCCGAAAGTCGAAATGAGGTAAGTAGCCAGAAGATCAATACAGCATTGATCAAGATTTAGTTCAATGGCCAGTATAAAACTCTCAACAGGTAACCGGGTCAAACAACTTGACAGTGGTTGACAAACCTGGCAATACTTTGTTGTCTTGTGTGTGTGTGACCGTCCACCGTCAAAACAATCAATTTTCGCTCCAAGACTCTACAATCACAGAACCATTCGTTACCTGTCGGAACGGATCGTGCCACCGATCGTGCGGTACTCGGAAATATCCGAGATCCGACCTTGTGAGACTTGTATGGTGTTGTGATGGCGATGTGCGCTTTTACATTGCACTGCGAAGGCTGAATGTTTAATCTATAATAATATACATGAAAAAATTACTCGATTCTGATTGGCTAAGA